ATTGATAATGTGTTTCCAGCAGCTTAACTTCAAGAACAAATTTGCAAGCAAAAAAAATTATTGGATTATGTAAAACCAACCTACAACTCAAATCCTGGTTACCAGCCTTTATTCTTGGTACATATAAACCACAGTTTCCACATATTTTCAAAATTACTTGCTTGACTTACAGCTTTCAATTTGACACAAGTTTTTCATCACACACACACACGTTTTCTTTATGAAAAAAGAAGAATGCCAAACAATGGGCAGACCCAAATACACCAGAGGAACGCGAGAGGCAGAATCAGGAGAGACCTCATTATTCCAACGGTTCAAGAAGTCCTGGGTGCTACACCTGGAGGTTTGGTGGTGATGACCAGAGCACATTAAATTCAAAATGCCTGGCAGTAAAATTCATCACCTGTTTTTGATGAAAAGATGCATCTTTTCAGAAAATCTAGCTCTCCATCAGGAGATGTGTAGCAGGTCAGACAAGCCTAAACACACCCACACTGGCTGGACAGGAAACCCCACACCCGACGCAGTGAGCTTTGAGGCCCGGCACGTGCATTCTGAGCACCTGCCCAGCAGAAACCACCCCCTCCCTGAGTGTGGGGAGCTCAGTGCCATGGGAGATGTTTGCCCTTGCCCTTGTGCTCACTATTTTTTTTTTTTTTTGGCTCTTATTCCATCTCTTGATGGTCCAGGTGGACTTGTATCAGTTTGGGGCATATAGAAGCCTTAGCTTAGCATTTTTAATGGGCTCATTGAAACTTGGATTTAAGTGAAACGCCATATAACAAAACCCATTTTACCAGAAGCTATTTGATGTAAACAAGAGTTTAAGTTCCTATAGCATATTTCTGATTTTAAAAAGCAGTAAACTCAACTTAAAAACCCAAACACTTCTTATATTATGCACTGAAGCTGAGTGTGATGGCTCACGCTAAAACCCAAACACTTCTGACATCATGCACTGAAGCTGACTGTGATGGCTCATGCTTGTGGGAAGCCACAGTGGGAGCACCACTCGAGGCCAGGAGTTCAAGACTAGTCTCTGGGCAACACAGTAACACCAAACCCAATCGAGACTGAACATATTTTCCTATCTCCTTGATGACAACAGCTCAGCGGTGATTCTGCTGAAATGCTTTTGAAAATGTGTTAAGCCAACAAACTCCCCTTGCCCTTCCTGTCTGCACTGGCTTTACCCACAGAGACCTCCCCGTTCTTGTGTGGTCTGCTCTGTTTACTCGGCTGCCTCCTGGAGGACCTGTGAGCAGCCCAACAGAGCTGCCTTCTCTGAGATGACAGCGGGCACTGGGCTCTGACCACAGGCAGCAGGGGGCATCTCAGGCACTACAGCAGCTAGAGAGCATTCACTTAGACAAGAGAGTGTAGGACCCATGCAGCACACAGGGAGGACTGGCTCTGCAGGAGCCCAGGTGTGGGACAGGAGAGGTGGGGGCTGCATTTGGAGAAAAAGACTGCACCACTGTGCAGAGAGCGCCTCATACATAGAGAGTTGCACAAGTGTGCTTTGTGCACATGGAAATTGGGAGCCATGGGAGGCGTTAGAGTAGAGGAGTGCCCAGATCCGCTGTGCACTAGCATCCTTGATCTGCTTTCTTGCAGCTTGCTTACTGAATTTGGTTGGAGAAGGGGATAAGAATGGAAGTTTCTGGAACAGCACTAGTGAGGTATAATGGGAGTCTAAGTGGGGAGTATTGGCAAGGAGAGAAATGGAACCTTGGTGGGCTCAGTCAGGCGACCTTTGCTCCTTCCCCACTGCCTGCACAGGGGAGTTCTGCACCTCTGAATATGGAGCACCCTCAAGTCTCAGGGGGATGTGTAGGAGTTGCCCATAATGAACTCAGGACAAAAGGCTGTACCTGTGGGCTCAGAGCCCGCCAGGGAACGGCAAGCGCAGAGTGGAGAATGGCCATCGGGCCCCCAGATCCCCCAGCTTCCCATCCCTCAGGCAAGGCCCCTGGAGGAACTGCGTGGGTTGGGGGTGGGGAGTTCCCCTAGTACTCCAACGTGTTGCTGACCCTGCTGCGAGGGCTTCCCCGCTGCCTTGAAGCCGACATCTGCTATGGTC